CTATCAAATAGGTCCTCGAACTTTCATAAAAAAGTCAATTAAGTCCTTCTATAGGAGACTTTGTCCGGTCGTCGCGATTTCGGACGGTTCCCGGTGGATTTTTTTGATGAAATTTTTTTAGCATCTTATTCATCAAGCCTAGTTTACTCATACCAAATTTTAGATAAAAATTTAATCGGGAGCGCGTTCAAATTAATTCGAGAACGCAAAAATGCGCAGTTATCTTCAAGAATTAATTTGAATGCGTTCCCAATTGCATTTTTAGCTGAAATTTGGTATGAGTAAACTAGACTTGGTGAATACGATGCTCAAAAAATTTCATCAAAAAATTCCACCGGGAACTTCCCCAAATCGCGACGGCCGGACAAAACCTCCTATAGAAGGACTTAATTGACCTTTTTATGAAAGTTCGATGACCTATTTGACAGTTTTCCCTTTCAAATTTAGATGCCGCTTTGTAATAGAGTATGTGTCGCCTCCTAGGGTTTTTCTAGGGGCGTTTGCCTGACGACGATCGTTTGGTCGTGGTGCGAGTTTGGATTGTGCGTCTGTTAATTGCTGATCTCGGCATAGCAGATCGTTTTTTAATTTGTTTCTTTTTTGGGATTGGGGCCATCGACCTAATCGTTTGGGATCTGTCTTGATTGATTCGAGCAATACATTCGTTGGCTGCTTTGATTGTGCCTGAGGTGTTCGGTCTCGACAATGAGCAGGTTCGTAGACAAATACAAGAAGATGGCGAATGAGGCAGAGGAGGAAGAACTGGATCTGCATGAAGCTGATGTTGAGGTTGTGGCGGATGAGCGGCGGGCGCGTCCCCCTCCTGATTTTTATGTCTGTTTTGTTATTTGTTTTTTCTTTATTGTTCCTATTTGTAAGACGTTGGATTTGGATGTGGGGATGAGAGGAATACAGTAACCGTTTTTGGCTTTGGTGCTCCCATTTATGGATCAACGAATTATATTGCTTCTCTGGAGGTGATTAATTCCGAGTCTGGTTCGCGAGACGACGATTGTCAGATTTCTTTTTATCGTTTTACCCTTAATATGTATTATGTGTTATCGATATAAGCCGAATTGTTCAAAAAAAATAGATGATAATGACTTTGGACGAATCACAACTTTTGACTCTGTCCCTTGATATCATGCGTGCTCCACATATTTTTTGCCAAAATAGTGGATGAGAGTAGGAGTGTAGACAACAATTTTCATTTAATTTTAATTTTGCCATTTTTATAACTTTTTCATTTTTTGTTAATTTTTTTAAGATATATCAATATTTTTAATTTTCTTTATGATGCAACTAAGCATTCCAGCTCAGCTGATTGTGAGGTTACCATGTCTAGTGGATGGGAGGTCTCGAGTTCGAAATCCCTAGGCACATAAGAGTTCGAAACTCAATGGAGTGAGTTTATTACTCCAGGCTCCCCCAGACCCCTGGAGTTAAAAAAAATTAATAAGAAACAATCATGGATATGAATCATGCATATATAAAATTAAAAAAAATGGCTAAATAAATATTTATGAAACAAACGAATTTTGTTTTTCATATGTTTATATGCAATATGATTATATGAATACCATTAGAAAGATCATGAGAAGACATTAAATCTGATATATTTTTTGTAAAAAATAGATTATAAATTAAAGAGTTCTAGCAATTTTAAGAAAAAATATTGTAATCATAAATGACATCCATTATAGGGAGTAGTGATCTTCAATGGTTGATTTCCATTTTGGGTGTTTTGCATACAAATCTTCCACTCTCGCGCACTGAGGCACCAAGTAATGGAGGGATGACCGTATGGAAAGTGCCGTGTTTGGCAGTTTGGGGGAGTTGGCATCTGCATGTTTGTAGGACCCACTTCTTCAAGGGCTAAACTTTTAATAATATTTTTATAAAATATAAATAAATTAATGCATTAATGCATGATTAAATTAATAATGAAATGAACATACCTTTAAAAAAGGATGACACCCCATCAAGGCCCCACCATTGACCGAACAATTAAATAAGAAATTGTAAATTGGATTTTAATCACAAACTAGCAGATGGTGGGTGAGGTTACGGTCTAAATACTTGCAAACGTCTCATGAATTTTTACATAGTAACATCTCATCGTAGTTATTAGGACTAGAACCTGAGACTCATCCCTTGTAGGCTGTAGCACTTCTTGTCTACCTATTGAAATTCACTTTATTTGGAGTGCAAACAAAAAAGATAACACTTTATATTCGGAAAAATAACAAAAACAAGACCTGTTCTTTTTTATTACATAAAAATGGGACAATTTTTCTGTTTAAGACAAAAAATGTGACTAAAATATATATCGAGTTTTTTCCACTTTTAGTCCTTTGACTATTATGTCATTGACATTTTTGGTACTCGACTTTGATTTTTTTAATTTTTAGTCCTTGACTATTGCGCTAGAGACAGTTTTGGTACCCGTCTTTGAAAATTTCCATATTTAGTCCTTCAACTTTCATAAAAGTGACACTTTTGATCCTTCAACTATTATAATAGTGACTTTTTTAGTCCCCGACGTACTTATTGTGTCAAAATCATAATGGGAGGGCTAAGACTTAAGAGTGTCAATTTGACAATGCTCGATGACTAAATGTGAAAAACCTTGAAGTCGGAGACCAAAAGTGTCTCTAACACAATAGTCAAGGACTAAAAATGGATCAATTAGAAGTCGAGTACCAAAATTGTCATTAACATAATAGTTGAGGGACAGCCATGGAGCTCTACGAAGATGGCAATGAATCTTTGGAATATGATTATGGAGCTCTATGAAGACAACGGCCGGAGCAGTGCTACCATTGCAACTTCTCTGCGGGCATACATCGTGATTGTCAATTTGTCATTCCTAGATGAAATCCTCTGATTTCGGGTTGGTTTGCAACTGTTTTTAAAAAAGCACTTCTCAGCTTTTGGCTTTAAAAAGCACTTATTTTTCCAAACACTACAACTTTTATTTTTTTCGGCTTCCGCATCAAAAGTGCTTTTACTTTTCTATTACACAAAAAACACTTATTTTACCAAACACTACCCACTTTTACTTTTCAAAATCACTTTTTTCTCAAACACTATACACTTTTATTTAATCACTTCTCCTCATTTCATTAAAAAAAAGCACTTTTTTAAAAGCAGAAGCTGTTGCAAACAGACCCTTCATATTTAAACGCTCTTTTGAATTATTCTGTATTTTAGCATTTAGAGCCTATTCATCATCACTCATTTTCAACATATTGATTTTATGATCCAATTTCTTGCCAATCACGCAAGATTTAAATATGAGGGCCAAATTATGCAATAATAGAACAAATAAGCTTGAAATTAGTTTTCTCATTAAATTTGATGAAAAACTCTTAGCCATTTTTAATATTTTTCTTTATTTCGTTAACAAAGTATATTTTAGGCCTTTTTTCATTAATATTACTAAATTAAAGGTTCAAAAGACAAAAGTATTACTTGTTTTAAAATTTTCCAAAAAGTGACAAATTTAGTTATTAGTTTCCAGTGAATCATCATTTATTAGTGACTTGTCACTATGAAATACACTATATATAATGAATCTTGTTGGTTACTCGCACAAGTGATCAGTCATATTGTTTTTCCAAAAACCATAACTAGTCATATTTTTGTCTGGGAAAACTCTATTAGTAACATACATGTCATTTTTATATATATATAATTAGTTTATAATTTAGCATGTTCAATCAATTCAACGAGTTCAGCCACAATTTATCAATTACAACACTTCAATAAGTTTTGGTGTTACCAAACACTATGTTTAAGAAACCGGATCGGGAAGCGACCCGGCCTCGTGACCGGGTCACAGGACAACCCGGATCCGGTCGGGTCAACCTGGTCAACACTATAAAACCGGTCAACCATTTAACAATAACAAACATATAATTGTATACAAAATTAAAATAAAAGGTAGTTAATTAATAATAATCAACTAATAATAATAAGTACTAAACACTTAAAAGTTAAAATAGTCTCATAATATTTTGAAAATTCCATTTTGATCTTATGAAAATATATATACTGATACTCTATATGTGTTATTTTTATTGGACAACTATTTTATAAATCGACATGATTTTTATTCTTAAACAGATAAGTAGCATATAAATCTATTGCATTTTTTCTGTTTAGGGTATTGAAAATTGAAATTTTATTGGTAAAAATGCCTAATCCTTTTTTTAAAAATTGGAAAAACAATCAAAGCCGGGGTTTTCCGGGTTTTTCAGATCCGGATTTTGCTGGGTCGGCCTGATTTTTCTGGTTTTTGACCATTTTCGGGTTTTTATTTAACCGAACTGTATTTTGATCTAGGTCACCGGGATCCGGGTCGGGTCGGTTCTTTAAACATAGACCAAACAGACTCATAATAATCTAATTGTTGTCTTTCTAGTTCTATTCTCATTTTGGCACTTTTAATATTTGTCCTCAATATAACAGGGTATGTTGGCGAGTTCGAAGGGAAGGGGAGGAGATGATTTTCAAGGTTAGTCATTGGAAAGGAGGGGAGGGAAAGATTGGAAATCCTTATTCTTGTTTGGGAGTAACAAGTTTAAAAAGATAGGGATCTTGAATGAATTATAATTAAATCACTTCACGTATATGACGGATTTAAATAGTTGAATTTATAGTTATTTAAAATTATGCGACGAATTTAAATAGTTGAATTATAATTAAATTCAACTGAATGCAGAAGGGTTTTTTGGCCTTTCAACTGAATGCAGAAGGGGTTTTTGGCCTTTCAACTGAATCCAGAAAGGTCCTCCCAACACGCGAACCCGAGCCTGAATTTCCATCCCCTAGGAATAATCATTGGGAGCACGACCCCCTCCTCTCCCCTAAATGTGTCTAGCGGGAATCGAACCCCAAACCTTAGCTAGACACGGTAACCTTGCTTCCAGTGGACGGGAAAGCTCGGTTATTAGGGTGCTTTTTAGAAGTGTTATGAAAAAAGTTTTACATGAATTGAGAATTTCTCGATAATAGGTACCAAAATTACATGATTTTACGATCACTTAAAAAATCTGAGCTTAGGCTGTTCAGTCATCTGCTTTGTTTTGTGTGGCTGCCTCTCCTCCACGCACAGGGGAAGCTGGAAAGAGAAAAGCGGCCGGAGAAAGAATGGCCACCGTCGCCGGGAGAAGTTTTTACCTCCCCACAACGCCAAAACCACCTAACAGAGACTTGTTAGCAACATTACCCCCGAGTAAAATACTGTACCAGTACCACCGCACAAAGCTATTGCCTTTGTCCATGAGTTATTCCAGAAATCCTAAGCAAGACGATGAAACGCTAAAGGAAAATGGGTCTTCTGCTCATCCTGATGACGATGGCGTCTCCATCGTCTCCTCAACTGTTCAAGATTCTGGCTCATTTCTTTCTAAAGGGTATTGATTTGATTTTAAATTACAGCTCCGTATTTCTCTATGCCTGATTCATTAAAGTTTATTGTTTTTGCTAGAATTCTCATTTGTTTAAAATTGAAGTTTGGATTTACAAAGGTTTCATTTTGACATTGACCTATAGCATTTTGATTATGTTCTACTCCTTGTTAAGAGGAGAATTTTGACATATTAAGACTTTGAAGTTTTATTATCAAACTTATGAGGAGTTTTATTTGCTTAACCTGGTCAACCTTACAGAATGTGTCTGAACATGGTTAATTCTCAGTAGAACGGATCATATTAACATTCTAAAAAGCCCAACCATATGAAACCGGCATATATGAGACGTGCTCCTTATCCTATATTGAGCTAGACAACTTGAGGAAATTAATGGACCAAACAGACTTTAAACGAATTGCCCTAAATCATATAGGTTCTGAATCTCTGATACCATAGTCTATATAAGACCCGATGTTCCAAGAGTTTCCCAATTCTTAATAATATTCTTTTGACATATGCTTTGTGCGAATTGGGGCGCGATGGCAGAGGGGGTGGTTGCAAGGGGTGTGGTAGAGAAGTGGCAGAGAGAGGTTGCAATGAGGAGGGAAGGATTCAAGGAGGGATAGCAGCAGTGCCCGGGTTTGGTTGGTGGCCAATAAAGGCATTCCGCCCTTGCCCTTCATTTTTGGCCTCCGGTGGAAAGTATAGGCGAGTTGGACAAAGCATGGATGAAGTGATCTCTGGAAGAGCAGTAACAAGAAAGTAGCTAAAGGTACAGCTTAAGTAAAATCTTTTTTCCCTGAAACTATACACAATTTTATCCCCTGGAAAAAAACTAAGAAAACACAGGCACACACTCTCTTCTTGGCTCAATAGGAACATTCTTTTAAATTGACAATGTTATTATCTTTCTGAACTTCAGATGGTTGGTTGTGGAACCGCGATGTCATCCAGTACTACTCACTCAGTCTATGAACTCAACTCGAATTGTGGAAACTGAAAAGTATGACTGTTGTATGAAATGTTTGAAGTGAAGATGTGAGAATGTTATGCAATGATGCAGCATGAATTAGCAAAAAGGAAACCAGTAATCATCTTTCAAATTATTATCTGTATTTGTAGTTTTGTACCTTGTATCTTATTTAAGCTTATACGATAGTATTTTCTTAGCAATGTAATCAGTAATGTGTAGTTTGACCTGACAGCTTTCGATTTTGGCCTGATTTGTTATTGTAGTCCAGCCAATTTTTTTTTATGGTCGAGTGTGCTCAATGCGACTGCATTGGCTTTCGTTGTGGATGGTTTGGGTGAAACCAAACCTTCCGGCAGCCACTCATCCCATGGTCAGATGTGGCATCGAGTGGTACACCGCTACATTAGTGAAAACCAGGAAATAGACTACTCTACATTAGTGAAAACCAGGAAATAGACTACTGACGGTGCGACCGTAGCCCGTAGGTGGGAGCACACATTGGTCAACACTTTGTTTTTGTTTTGTCCTGACTCCTGAGGGCCATGAAGCATTAAGCATAAGGTTCTGGTGCTCACAATGTCTGTGCTTGCTAGATCCATCCTGGTCCTCCTGGAGCATGATTCTTGTGCTCTTGTGACTTGTGAGATCTCTCCCCCAGGGCCAATGTTTAGTCCTCATCCCAAATGCATTGGTTCAGACTTCAAAGGTCTCTCCAATGCCATATTTGGTAGCTTACAACGGCAAGTCTTGTACTCTTGACTCTTGTAATAATGATCAATCAGAAGTTTAGAACTAAGAACTACCGAACTGCCAATCGGCCATCTTCGATGAAACAGAGGATTGGAGGAGTCTAAGGTAAAAAATGCATTGTGCCATACAGTTTCTTCTTAACAAGAAAGGGAGTGTGCCAATCACTTCACTGGGAAGTCATATGGAGAATGTGAAACAGACCGAGAATCAGAAGTACTGGGAAAAGTCAACAAAGAGTGGCAAAAGAAAGAAGGCAGACACTATTAATAGTTTAATATCATACGGAGTATTTATTATTATAGCCTTGGACCCTTGGTACACCAACCACAGCAATCACAGTTATTATTACCGGGATTGTACCTATGCTTTCAGTACAAAAACTTCACAATACACATATATAGTAAGTATATCTGTCTCATATGTACAAAAACATTCTGATTTGCTTTCGCACAAGCCATGCAGATTACACCGGATCCTTTGTTTTTTTTTCCTATTCCCTAAATACATATATATAATTGTTGCTCTTTTCTTCTCTTTAGTATTACAAGCCATCGCAGCTTATTCTTTTCTTATTACTCGCATAAAGCCCTCTGATAAGTTATGCTATGCTCATGGGTCACCACCCTCTGCAAAAGTGTCCAACAGGGAGAGGGTCTGCAACAACAACACAACTTATTAGGTTTTTTTTTAAACGTGGATCGGAAGATTGTTATTCAAGAAGCTTCTGCTTAAAGAACAGAGAATTATCATCACCTCAGGAATGTTCAGCTCGAGGCGGAATTTAGGTCCATCATAATGGTGAAGAATTGGCCTGAAAGCATCCTCTTCAAGTGGCTCACATACTTTCCTCGTCAGCACACGCACCTGAATCATCCAGCAGATCAGTCACAAATCTTTTTTCGAGCGGGGATCCCACCTAACCAAACTCATGCCTCAGCTAAGCAATTAGCTCTTGTTTGGTTGGGGAATTAAGGTGTGAGGGAGGGAGGGGTGAAATTTGTTTTTATTGATCTCCTCTTATGTTTATGCTTGTTCATTTTTTTTATAAAACTAGCAAGCCCTTAATTATACCGACGCAAGAGGATCTTCTTGATTATCTATGTTTTTTCTCCTAATTCTACTTACCTCCTGCCTAATCCCCAAGCACCAAACTGCCCCAATGAACCTTTGCCTAAGCTCCCAAAGTTAGGACCTTATGATACCAACCTGAGCAGGGAAGCGAGATTCGCCTTGGTTCTTCTTGTCCTCCCAAGCGGTAGGATCAATGTTTGTTCCGCCAAAGCTTGCAGCCTGAAGAAACAACACAATCAACATTTATCATCTTTATCATAACTATAAAAATTTATACGAAATTAAGACAGATCAAGTGTAGTGGTTTGATTGAGATATGAACCTCGAAAACTCCATGAAGCTGGTGGGTTGAATAGTTGTACAGGAAAAGAGGCAACCCTGGTGTGATTTGCCTCACCGAATCTCTATAACGAGGTGGCAACCCTGAATTCAACAAAATCAAGTACACAGGGATAAATATAAGATTGATTGATAAGTAGGATATTCTGTTTTTTTAATGGTCATTCATCATATTTATTCCCAGATTGAAATAATATTCCTTTTAAAAAAGATCCACCAAATCATACCAAAACTTGAACCATCAATAGATTATGACCATATAATTAATTTGAATCGGCATCTTAAGTTCTAAATGGAAGCATTCTGCTTTTATTTTGCTACTCTTTATACCATAGTTAAAATAAAAATATTAGTAGTAGTAATAATAATAATAATAAAGTGAAGACATATTTATATTGACAAAGAAACAATCTCAGCTTGTAGATTCTTTGGATCAAGTCTAACAAATACATATACATGATCCTAATTCTCAGTTCATTTATTTTAGCAATTCAGTCTTTAAAAATATTATAAGTAACCTTAAACATGGTTAAAATAAAATAAAAAATCAACAGAAATCCGCAATAGAAAGGGGGGAAAGGAGCTTATACAGGAAAATTTGTGGTAGAATATTAAGAGAAAAAGATTAAGGTACTCACCAAAGAGCTCCCTTTTGAGATTTTCTTGCATAGTATCATTGTTGCAAACAAAGATGTACCCTCCAACAGTTTCATTTCTAGGCAGAGCTTCTGATGGTGGCAAAGTCTTGAATCTCTTGTCAGCTCCATTTTTTTCTCCATTGTTGGATTCCTTGTTATTCCCTTCTTTGTTGACATTTTTATTCTTCTTTCCAGTTTTCAAATGGTCATCATCAGATCCCATCTTCCCAGGCTTCTTCATCATGTTAAACCCTTTGTTGTTGTGCACCGCCACGTTATTAGTCCCTTTATAGTAAGGATTATAGGTCATCGCCGGTGCCGGATAAATCCCTTTGTTAAAACCGCCGTTCAACCCCACTCCAAACGCCCCCTTCGGCGATGGCCCAGACCCAGATCCAGAGATCGAACCTATCTCGTCGGACAGCTTCCACCCATCATTGCTGAAGAGGTTGTAATTAGATTTGAAACTGTTCGCCGGCGGGTTGTTGGCGGCGGCGGGGGCGTTGACCTCAAAGTTCCGCCTCTCCTCCGGCCGCTTGGTACCGTAACTGGTGCTCCAGATGGAGTCGTTGAGGGAGAGATTGGCCAAGTTGTTCGCCTGCAGACGGAGCTGATCGCTGAACTGCCAGAAAGACGATTGAGTGTTCTCCATCTTGTCTTTGCTCGCCGGAAAACCAAGAAACGCGTAAAGATTGAATTTTTTATATATACAAGCAGAGACCCAGATCTAGAAATGAAGATAGTAAAGGAGGGGAGGGTGGTTGGGATATATAATTGAACAGAGTAAGATAGTGAATGGATAGAAGTTTCGAGGAAGGTGGGGGAGATAGCGTGTTAAATTGTCAAAGTAGAAGTTTAGGGGTGTTGAGAGTGGAAAAGATACACAGTAAACTGCCGAGAGAGAGAGAGAGTTTGCAATGAATTTAGCAAACGGTGACTTTTAACGCGGTGTGTGTGGGAAGTGGACGCAGACTAGGCCCATTCCATTTTTAAATTTGGTTTGCAACTACTTTTAAAAAGGTATTTCTCAGTTTTTGGCTTTAAAAAAGCACTTATTTTTTCAAACACTACAACTTTTATTTTTCTCGGCTTCCGCGTCAAAAGTTCTTTTACTTTTTCTATTACACAAAAATCATTTTACAAAACAGTACCCACTTTTACTTTTCAAAATTACTTTTTTCTCAAACACTATCAACTTTTATTTAATACGGAGTACTACGTAACTTCTCCCCATTTCATTAAAAAGGCACTTTTTTAAAAGCAGAAACTGTTGCAAACAGACCCTTAATCTTTTTGACTCCCTATTATCCAAGGGAATTAATTCTATTTTTGGCAAAAGTTAATTTTTTTTCTAATTAGAGTGAATGATGAATGATCTTGTCTAGTCAGAGGGATAGGATCCTCCGTCTGGCCATCATTGTTTCATGGAATTTTTTGATAAAATATTTTTGTAATGTTCTTCGTCAAGTCTAGTTTATCCACAAAAAATTTAAGCTGAAAATTCGATTGGGAAGACAGTCAAATAATTTTTGGAAGATAACTGCGCAAAAACAAAACTACAATACTATAAATTTCTTAAATATGACTAAATACGTGTGTTTTGACAAATACATAGTATACTGCAATACTTTTTTGGAGTGCAAAACTCTAGCCACTACCACCACCGCCAGCCTCCGGCTATCACCACCGCTGATCTCCGGTGTTAGGCTACTAAATTTTATGTTCAACTTGTGGAGGATTAACCTATTTTATGAGCATTTGTTTAAATCATTAGACAGAACTGTAAGCTCAACTTGTGCAGGATTAACCTATTTTAGGCTACTAATTTGCTTCTGTAATGTAAAATGAGGGTATATGTCACATTTCTTCAAACTCTTGAAGGTTCAATCTTTTTTTAATTTAGTTTTAAAATGCTGTGATTCACGTGTCTTAATTGGTTTAGTTTGTACTCCACTATTTGTAATACAGTATTTGATAAGGATTTGAATTGACACTATAACTAAACATGGTTATTGTTTTGCAAAACAGTAATTGCGCTTGTAAAACTGAACTCGTGAAAGATGGGGGCTTTTGTTTCATTCTTTAATTTGTTGGTAGGATGGGTATGAAGAAATGGCGGTAACATGTGTTGGATTCAATAGAAGGTAGGAAAGTGAAATTAAAAACTCAGATGTTTAATCTTGTGGCAGTTGTGGGTAACACAAACCATGAGAGCGGACTTTTGCCTTGAATAAGATATGTATTGTCGTGACTGGTGCAGTCCTTGGTTAAGAGCATCCACTATGGGAGATCATTGAGAATCAAAAAATATACCATCGTATTCATCACACTTGATCCCGAGCACTATAGGGATCATGAAGTGATCAATCACAATGTAAGGTTACGAATTGGAGCTGATAGCTTATTTGTGACCAACCAATTAGAGAAAGCCAAATATCATTTTACTTTGAACCAACCCCATCAACTACCTCCAACTCCCTAATTTTATTTATTATGGATTAAATTTAATTTATAATAATACTAATTTAATATCAAAAAATAGATTTTGTTTCCTCCATACATAAACACCAACGAAGGATATGTTTAGTTACTTCGAATTTTATCATTTTTTTTTCCTTCTTGCATCTTATTTTATCTGTTTTAGAACATTTTTCCCTCAAAATTAAGGATATGTAACAATTTTTAAAAATATGCTTATTTTTATTTTTTGACAATAAATAATTGCAGTGGGTCAAATGTGGATTTTATACGGAGTATTCCTTTTTCAAATTAAATAACTTAATAATGGTGGAATATAAAAAAAATAAGGAGAGAGCGTAAAAAATTTAAGTGACCTAGATCACCATAGTGGGGAGAAAATGGCCGGGATAGGTTGGAGAGGATTTAAGTTTTTAGAGGGAAATGATGTGGAAGAGAAAGATTGGGATCGAATGTCATTAGCATTGTGGATGCTCTAAGCGGCAAAGGGGATCAGTGACTATTGCCCAATGGAGATATTTCACAGAGGTGGCCAATGGAGAATGTTCAGCGGCAGTCTAGAGAGGACGGCAGAGAGAAGCCCATAGAGGAAGAGGGCCCGCTGACAATCTGGTCCAGAAGTACGTTGGCCTGGATATTGCTGATACATCGACGAACTGTTGCTTGATGATGATGAAGACGAGGAGGCAGCGAGGGAGGGCAATTATGTGAAAGAATTTTCGGTGGTTGGGGTGCTTCTCACGAACAAGGTGGTTCGTTTCCAAATTTTTAAGGATCTAATGGCGGCTTTGTGGCGACCTGAAAAGGGGGTATTGATAAGGAAATTGGTGAAAACATGTACCTTTTCAAATTTTTTCACTATGTTGATATGAATCATGTTCTAGATAATGGCCCATGACTATTTGATCAGAATTTATTAGTGTTGAGGGCCATTAAACCAGGGATATCTCGATTAAGGTTCCGTTGGATTCAGCTGATTTCTGGGTGCAATTGCACAATGTGCCTTATAGATATGCTAAATTTGGTACTGCTAGGAGAATTGGAAACTATCTAGAAAAACAATTGTTGGTTGGGATGACAATAAGTTTGGTGAAAAGTGGGAGGCCCACATGAGGGTTAGGGTAAGCTTTGATGTGGGTAAAGCCTTGACAATTTATATTACTGTTAGGAAGAGTAAAGGGAAAGATTATTGGGTTGATTTTAAATATGAGAAACTTTCAAGATTTTGCTTTTTCTTCGGGGTCATAGGACATGTAGAAAAATTTTGCCCATTAATGTACGAGAAAGGAGGTCAGGAGATAGCTAAGCTGTTTGGTCTGTGGTTGTGAGCGGGAGGGAGGAAGACACACCCATCTTTGGGGAGAAAGTGGTTGATTATAGAAGGAAGCTCTTTAACAGGAGCCTGCAACAAGGCAAACATAGCTAAGGCGGATCAGGACTTGAACCTGTATGGAAAGGGAGATGATAATCAGGGATGATTGGTGGCTACCATGGGAACAAGGGCGACTCAATTGGACGGAGGTCTAGGAGATCAGAAGAGAAGACACACTTGGGAGGAGCAGGAGCAGGGTGACGATGAGGTGGAGGAAATGGCCCTAGATTGACCCAAAAACGGGGAAGGGGGGGGCCTGATACCCAAGCCCGCCGGAACTCTTGAAGCTACAGGCAACCATGATAGTTGAAAGACATTTTAATTTTTCTTATGTTGTTTCTTCCATTCTTCGCTTTTATTTGGATCTCTACTTTGTTTTGGTTGTGTTGTGTTTTTCAGAAAAAAAAAAACTCTAGAACTTAGGACGTGTGATGAGAAGTCAGGTTTATCTGTCATTGGCTTAGTTAAGTCCAAAGCGGGATCAGCAAATCACAGTGCTTCTATGGAGGTGAGTGATTCTAACTCTTGTTCTAGAGCGGATGTCAGACAGAAGACTTGTTGTCATTTTGTTATTCCTCGTATAATATAAGCCACATTTATCAAAAAAGAAAAAATCTTGCGGGTAATACTGCAAGACCTCCTAGATTCCCCTTAACCATATTTAATTTGTATGAGCGTTCTCTGTTTGACTTTACATCCAACATTTTTGTTGAGTGATCTGAGTTATTTTCATTGTCGCCTCTAGAAATTGAATCTCAAATTTCAGCTCATATTAAATGTTTGTGATTTAGAAAATTGGTATTTATGCCTCATATTCTCTTTCCTTCCATGAGGTTGGGAGATAAAAGTTTTGTTTGTACTCATCTATTTAAATAGAACCCTAAAAAATTGTATACAATATACTACCTCCGTCCCGGAAACAAGTTCCCGGGTTGACCTTCACACATTTTAAGTAAATAAAGTTACTGAAGGGTAAATTTTACTGTTTTGACACTGTTTCGACACTGTTTTGCACGGTTTGACAATGTTTTGCACTTTTTATGCAGATAATTTGCCAAATAAGGAAATTGGAAGTTTATTTTGGGACATCCAAATAAAGAAAGTGGGAATACGACCTATGTCCTACCAACATTAAAATATGTGGATGTGGTATAGTTATTAAGAAAAGTTAATCTGTATGGTTAATATTGAAGTGATAAAGTAAAAATAGTGTTAGAATCATTCATAAACATATAAATTTTATCAAATTTGATATGAGATAATGTCTGATGGGACAAACCTAAAATCAAAGATGAAACAATCTTAGTGGGACGGAAGAAATACTAAAAAACAACCTAAAGCTAGAGTAACTATATTAAATACGTGTTTATTAAAAATAATGTTCCTAAATAATACATATGGAACTATTTTTGTTGAATATATGCTTAAAATTTAATTTACAAAAAATATACTTTTATAGAAATTAAAACTAATTAAACACTTTTGTTTAAAATGATGCCTCTCGTTCTATGGGTGCCCTAGACCTATGCCTAGCAGCCTAGGTTCACTTAAAGTTGGCCTTGCTGGTTCATTTAAAACACTGAACTGATATTTATGTTTGTATTCCATTTTTACCATAACCGAATCTCTTTAAGTGAATTATTGCGACATAGACAAACTGTTGAGATAAACGTCTTCTAAACCTAATGTAAGAGATGTTTTTTGAAACTATTAGTGAAAAATATAAGTTACTATGACTAATGCTAATTACATATGGAATAGTACCTTTTTTTTGAAAGGATATGGAATAGTTACTTAAGAGCCGAGATCATATTTTTGTATTTTTTTTTATTTCAGTCATAAATATGTAATTATTTCACACTTTAATTCAATATTTTTTTTATAAGTTTTTCTATTTTTATTAAAATAATAAGTTTATTTGAAAGCACATTTACATAGTTTAATTGCACCTATGGTCACATGCACTTAATTTAAATATCTTATAAATATCAATATCAATTTACAATCGCATGTCACCTTTGTAAACTTTCATGGCCATTACTAGTGGCTTTTCATCACACCATTGTAAACTTTCAACTACTCCAAACTCCATATGATCATAGTCATCAGACACAGTCACACAAACATAATCTCAGAAATGCTCAACAGGTTCATAACATGGTGGCCTCAATTCTAGTGGATTGGCATATCACACACCCTAATAGTACAGTACCATATAAACACTCAACACTAGCTATTTGGAAAATAGGTAATCATTATATTACCAGCATTAATCACTATAAAAAAATAACATGATTGACACAAATTTGACTCGGATCGGTTGAAAATTTTGTGTCAAATAGCTCGTGACGTAAGAGTGTCATTGGCTCGGATTTGGCGTATCTTTGCCAAATCCTCTATCAATTTTGCCAAATCCCTACTTAAAAAACCCCGTCAATCCCGTTATTTTTTTATAGTGGATTAAAAAGAAAATTAAACAATTATAAGAGAAATTGTTAAGAATTTTATAAAAGTACCATAAACTATAATATAGGTAGGCGTGAGTACAATAATGGTGACTAGTTGTTTGAGGTTAGCTTTAACTGCCTTCACTAACATGAAACTTGTGCCTTGTGCATATATAAAAACTCCCAACCCCGCAACAAACAAAAGCTCCCCACTTCTAGTTCTTTATGGTAAAAACTAAATAGTGGTTCTTAGATTTTGGAGAAAAATGGCTATCAATGCTCCTTCTTGCAGGTTGATATTCAAGATCAAAGATTCAGCTATGAATGGGGCTTCCCATTTTCAATACAATGATGAGCTTAAACCGGTTGAAACCAATCAAATCCCACTTTCTTCCATTAGTTATAAGGCTCAAGGTAATAATACTGCCTCGTCCCAAAAAACTGTATCATTTTATAAAATTTAGATCATATTTTGATTAGCATAACATTATGGAGTTCATAAATTTTATATATTTATGAAAGAACTTTTAACAAAGAACATTTTCATATAATTTTTATACGGAGTATTATAAATAATTTCCAAAAAATGTATATGATTGATCAATGTTTAAAAAATAACAATTTTTTGGGAACGGAGGTAGTATGTACTATGTAGTTTGTATATAATTAATCCTAGGGTTAATTATTTGTGGCATTTGTTCTTTGGGAAAAGTACAGAAATGTATTTGTAGTTGGATCCATTTTTAGATAGGGTCATGTGTTTCATTCTTTATCAAAGTGGTTCATGTGTTTGAATTCTGTTATCACAAGAGGGTCACGCCATTAAAAACGTCTGAAAAAGACCATTAAAAGTAACTCCGATTTTCAAAAGTGCCCGAAAAATAATAAAAAAATACCGGAAGGTGCGCCTCAATAAGACGACCGCTAGGTATCTTTTTTTTTTCAGCCACCCTTGTCACCGGAAAATCCACTGTAAAAGTGATATTAGAGAAATCATTTTTAAAAAATAATTCAAACAGATCTGAAAAATCCTAAGGCGAAGGTAGTTTGGAGGTCATCTTGAGGAGGCGTACCTTTCGGTATTTTTTTTTAAATTTCCGGGCACTTTTGAAAATTGAATTTACTTTTAACGATCTTTTTGAGACATTTTTAACGGCGTGACCCTCTGGTAATAACGGAATTCAACCACATGAATCACTTTGGTAAAGAATGAAACACGTGACCCTATCTGAAAACGAATCCAACCACAAGTACCTTTTCCGTACTTTTCCTTTGTTCTTTTCCTCATGCACTTGAATTAAGGGTAAAATCCTTACTTGCTAGTAATCTCAATACAATTTGGTAGATGAGCTATTGAAAAATTAAATCAGCGTTTTGAGTACATTTAGGGTTGGTTTGCAAACGCTTTAAAAAAAGCGCTTCTCAGCTTTTGGCTTTAAAAAACACTACAACTTTTATTTTTCTCGGCTTTCGTGTCAAAAGTGCTTTTACTTTTTCTATTACACAAAAAACACTTATTTTACCAAACATCATCAACTTTTACTTTTCAAAATCACTTTTTTCTCAAACACTATCAACTTTTATTTAATCATTTCTCCCCATTTTATCATAAAAGCACTTATTTTAAAGCAGAAGCTGTTGCAAACAGACCCTTAGTTGCCTCGTCATCTCGGTTGGCAGTACCATTTGAAATCATATGATTTCGCAACATAAATCCATGTAATTTCATTTAAACTTTAACATTATGTTTATACTTGGACTTAAATTTTCTAATCTAGTATGATCTAATCTAAATTGCTCCAGTCTAGTCTGGTAGATGTCTGGTCTATGATGCTGTTTGGATATTAGCGGGTGGAGCAATCCACCGTCTCTTTAACAAGTGAAAACACTACTATTAGCAGCGGATTGGGCACAAACCGCTGAAATCCAAACAACCCTTATATCTATTTTGCAACTGTCGATTTCTGGTAAAGATTTGATTTTTAAGTCTAATATGATCAGTTTTGGTCTTGTTTGAGACTGAAATTAGTTCAAAGTATAACCAAACTTAGACCACACCAATCAAGTGATTAAACAAAAATGTAGCCAGTTTGGTTAGTCATCCATATTCCTTTTCTCAAGAATGTGAATATATAATGAATTGTAGTACTATTGATTAATAATGTACTATTTATTTAATTTGATCCTTCAATGAATGAGATATTAAATTGTATCAATATAGATGCTAATTGCTAAAGATATTTCATTCAAATAAGTTGCAAGAAACTCTATTAAAACCTAAAAAAAATATAGTTATTGTGATCTGATGTGCAGTTCTAATTAATTAGCCAAGGGTATTCACCAATCAACAGTTATGTTTCATTCGTTTCAGTTTTATTGGTTCAATTTTTTGTCACTTAGTTTTAAATCGGTGAAATCAAGAATCGAGGTGTAGAACTTCAGTCATTTTAGTGTGTGTTTGGCAGACATAAGTTTCTGTCTTCTAGCTTTTATACCGTTTAAAAAGTATTTAAAAGCTTCTAGGTATACACTTATACGTTTTGCATACCAATTTTTAAGAACTTTTATAAAAAATATAAGATCTGTTTTGAGATGCTACTGTAACTTCTAGAGTTAATTAGTCCCAAACAGCTTGTATACCAAACAGAGCTAAATAAAACGGCCAACTTTTATCAAACAACCATCACTTTTTTCTTTTAACATTTTTTCAATCACTAAAAGGTAACAATTATCAAAAAGCTCACTAGTTGTGCTTTATCACGATAAAGCACTGGATTCAAACTGTTTCAATTCTACTCGGTTCCATTTTGATTAGTTCGATTACAATTTATCGAATACTTTGTTAAGCCCAAGTTCTAATTTCCATTTTTAGGTACGAAGTGGAGAAGAATCAAAGCCATGAGATCTCCAACAGTTTCAGCCCCAAAGCGCGAATCAGACCCTAAGAAAAGGATTGTGATAACCGGAATGGGCCTTGTTTCAGTCTTTGGAAACGATATAGACACCTTCTACAACACCCTCCTCGAGGGACGTAGCGGAATCGGCCCAATAGACAGATTTGACGCTTCAGATTTCTCCGTTCGGTTTGCCGGCCAAATTCACGGCTTCACCTCCGACGGCTACATTGATGCCAAAAACGACCGCCGTCTGGACGACAGCTGGAGATACTGTCTCGTCGCCGGCAAGAGAGCTCTTGACGACGCTAGCCTCGGGAAAAATGTTCTAAAAGATATGGACAAAAGTAGGATCGGAGTGGTGATAGGTTCGGGAATGGGAGGGTTGGGTGTGTTTGGGAGTGGGGTCCAAGCCTTGGTTGAGACTGGGTACAGGAAAATAAGCCCCTTTTTCATTCCTTATTCCATCACAAATATGGGGTCGGCTTTGTTAGCCATAGAGGAGGGGCTAATGGGGCCCACCTACTCCATTTCCACCGCTTGCGCCACCGCCAACTACTGCTTCTACTCCGCCGCGAATCACATCCGGCAGGGCGAGGCTGATGTCATGGTGACCGGTGGGACCGAAGCCGCCATCACAACAACCTCGGTTGGCGGGTTTATAGCTTGTCGGGCGCTGTCTCAACGAAATGATGAGCCAGGAAAGGCGTCTAGGCCGTGGGACAAGGATCGCGATGGGTTTGTCCTAGGTGAAGGATGTGGTGTTTTGGTAATTAAGAACAATCTTAATGCATGCATTTCTTAAACAGTATACTCCTTCCGTAATTTAAAGTTTGCTACATTTTTCTTTTGAGATGTATTCTAAAAGTTTGTTACATTTTCTCTTTTTTTTAAGTTTTTCCATTAAAACTATTCAATTGACCTTACTTTTTCTACTTTTTATTTCTCTTTCATACTTTTACACCAATTCTCTTACTTTTTCTACATTATTCATTTATTCTATTATTTTTCTCCTTAAATAATCTGCCAAAGCCACATGCAGTAATCGTTAAAATACGGATGGAGTATATATTAGCATGGCTACTACACAAATATTACAAACAAATAAGTAAAAACAGAAAACTTATTTTGAGACATCACAAAGTGAAATGTTACATAAATAGGGGCAAGGTCGGGGAGAATACAATAATATGTTTCCTTGGTCTAAATTTAAGTTGTAATTTGTAGTATTTATGTTTGACCAACTATAAAATCTTATCATATCATAATAATATGAGAAGATACTCCAATTAAATAGGAGTAAACATATGGAGTAGGATAATAATTTCTCAAATTGGAGTTTCATTGTTTTCTCCTCAAAGCATGACTCATTCACTCTTGTATTGGAAGATGTTTACTATTCTATTATTTTGATAGGACTAAATAAGTCATGTTTTTTAGAAACAAACACATTTAGTCCTCTTTTACAACTTTGTCCATGCTTTACTCATAATTTGCAACACAATTTCGAGACAAGGGAGTATCCTTCATAATACTCTTTTTTTTTTTTTTTTTTAAAGAAAGTGAATTTTATTGAAAATAGCAAACCGTACAGGCTGAAAAGGAAATAAAAGAAACAAAGCAAAAAAGTACAGAAAAAAGAAAGTCCAAAATTACACCCAAGGAAATTCTCTAGACTGAGATCTAGTCTTCATGTTGTGGCGCCTCTTATTCTTTTGAGATTTCCTGTATAATTTGATTTGCGTGTTCAAGTTATCCGTCGGCAGGCCAAGTTATCCGTCGGCAGGCAATTCTCTGATGTAACAAATTTGGATTTTTTGCAAATCGTTCTATTGAATTTTGATTTCACGATTTCTGCCGGAGTTGAGATAGGGGGACGGCGATCGCATTTCACGATTCCTTCATAATACTCCTTTTATCTATAACCTTCTTCACATTTCCCTATTTGTTTGATGTCCCAAATGTTTACCCGCATTTTCAATTCTTTTAAGGAAATAATATTAATTATCTTTTTAACATGGCAATGCAAATTCAGTTTCTTAATAAGTGTATTAAGTTTAAAGTGGGATGAAAATGTTGTAACTTTTAAGATGTCACCCCAATCACCAAGAGGGGCACTCAAGTTGCCAATCTTAATAATTAGCTTATTGGTCTTCAATCAAACCCAAAAGGTAATGGAAAGCTTGGATCATGCCATGAAAAGAGACGCTAATATAATCGCCGAATACTTAGGAGGGGCAATAACTTGTGATGCCCATCACATGACAGAACCGCGATCAGACGGACTTGGTGTTTCTTCTTGCATAACTAAGAGTTTGACAGATGCCGGTGTCTCCCCGGAAGAGGTAATTTTCAAGAGATTTGCTGATTTTAGTCCTATAATTTTTTTTGCCCATTATCGGCCACAGAACTTTACTATTAGTTCTAGTGACAATGCAAGGGATAATAAATTTATCACTTATGGAACTTGATATGCCAGTACGAAAAGTTACAAAACTAGCTAGTCATGAGTATGTACATAATAAGTTATGAGATTAATAAATCTACAACTTTCTCAGTAATTTTGTCACGTTGATTACATTTCAATGATATAACATGAAATGTCAGTACTTCAATATGGCTATCTAGTATTTAATAATTGGTCATATTACAACCTTTGGTTTATATTTCAAAATTTTAATTTAATAATAAGAATAGGGTGATTGTCTTTTATTCATGTTTGTTAGTTGTTTAAAAGCTTCTCAATCTAAGAAGATCGACTTAACATTAGCATTTTGTAAAAGGTGAACTACATCAATGCTCATGCAACATCAACTGTGGCTGGAGACTTGGTTGAAGTCAATGCTATTAAAAAGGTGTTTAGGGATACAAGTGAGATTAAGATGAATGGAACCAAGGTAAGATGGGGGATCCTAGCTAAGTAATCGCTAATTAGGTATTATTATCCAATTCATCGGTAATTGGATGTCAGAATGAAGTTTTTGTGTTTTCAGTCAATGATTGGTCATGCACTAGGGGCTTCTGGTGGTCTTGAAGCTATTGCAACCATCAAAGCAATCACTAGAGGATGGGTACACCCAACTATTAACCAATATGTAATGCTCACCTTTCTAGCTTCACCATTTGTCACAACTTAATTAAGCTCTGTTTGTTATCTTTCACGTTTAATTATCATTTTCTTCATGTGCCTTCTAATCTCTCCAATGTCTTTTATAAGTAGAATTTGGAACATGAAGTTACCATTGACACTGTTCCAAATGTCAAGAAGCAACACAATGTTAATGTTGGTACGTTATTTAATTACATTTCAATTCCTATATGTTTTCTTTTTCTTTTGTTTGGATTTGAAACTAAAGATTATATAAGCTCGTTTTTGCAGCTATTTCTAACTCGTTCGGCTTTGGCGGACATAACTCAGTGGTAGTGTTTGCACCATTCAAACCCTGAACAACCATAACTCGAACTCTTTATTGTGTGTAGGCCTTCACTTTATATAGGCTTCCACTTTTCTGGTTGCTTTTATCACAAAGCTCATATACAAGAATATCAATATAATAATTATTGAATAAGGTCCATGTATGAATGTGAGATATAAAATTGTGTATTTTTGTTGAATAATTGTTCTTTTTCGCATTAACTTTTGTCATTTTTTAATTAATTAATATGTGATTCTTATCATTCTTACTACTTTCTCTTCTATTTGTGCAAACTTTAATTATATAATATTACGAGTACTTAATTATTTCATGCATGAGTTAAACCTATTAAAAGTTAAAAGAAATTGCTCAAAATAAAAGTTAAATTTAGGCAAAGTTCTAAAATATGACTAAATATCTTGCCTTTCAAACTATGAATTATTTAGTCATCTTAAAAGAAAAAAAATTCACAAATTTAAGTCTTGTTTGAAATGAAAACAAGATAGTCTTATTTGAGAAAATATATTGCATACCCGTGTTTAATATTTTTTTTTGAAATGTAGAGGGAGATATAAAACTGTTCTATAAAAAACCAAAAGACACACTAAGGTACTCGTCTTGCCCTCTTTTAATCTATATACTCCGTATATATATAATAATAATAATAATGAAATAGTGGGAGGGACTTTTGGGCGAGAACACTATATCTATTTTTTTACTTATTAATTAATTTATTAATTAGAAAACTTAATTACATTGGTGTGACAGAAGAAGCATTGGGTTAGATTTGATCACACGGCTCAAGACTCGAGTTTATCGTGAGATGTGTGTGCACATTTATTACTGCTTGCGCGCATGAGTTGCATTTGTGTGTCTTTTTTTTGTAGTTGCATCCATATGTCTTTATCTTCTTCATTAATAATAATACTTGAGTATAGTGACTAAGTTAATATTTGAAAATAAAGTTTTGAGATACCTTTAGAGATTTCTAGAACAAGTTATCGGGTTTAATTAGTTGCTCAATCCAATTAATATTTTAAATTCTGAAGCAATAAAATCGAGTATAAATAGGGGGTGTGGGTGCACTCAAATCGTTAGGCGTCGCACAGGTGGGAAAGCAGATGCAGTGTACATTGAAGTTTGGAAGTTCCTTAGAGATTTATGAGTCGGGAAATCATGTTTAATTAATACATTGGCAGTCTGCTATGGTGGAGGTATTTGGGAAGGAGTTGGATCGCAATAACATGTGGAAATGGGCCAATATCTTGGGGTCAACACGAGATACGCTTGATGGGGGCTAATGCCAACTTAAAAAAAGCCCACTTGGTTATTTCTTTTCAGTGTTGGGATATGTTTTTCTCGGATAGGATATAGTCAATTTCAGTAAAGCTTGGTTATGTTTTTCAAGTTGCTACGTTCTGGAGACTGGATAGTATAAAAAGATGTGAGAAAAAGTTAATTATGTCGATTATTTACACCTTTCTCATATTTGAAAGTGAAATAAACTTTGTGTGTGGGTATTTGCTAATTTTAGTCATATTTGAGTTAATTTTTTGCGGATCAATATAACTTTAGCACGATATGCCATAATGCTTAAATTTTAATTATAAATATTATTTTAAATAGGAAAAGGACTGATTTCTTATTTTCTTAGTTCCGATGTCATGTGTTAATTCATGTTAGCTGGCTCCAAACTTATATGGGAGTACTGTTTGGATATTGTTCTGAAAAACGTTTTCACTTTGATCAATTAAAGTTGAATCATTCTACGAATGAGACAGTAGAAATTGGACCAAAAGGAAACTTTAGTGCGTTTTAATTTTGGAAGTTAATAAAGAAAATAATTTTCTTGGCAAGAGCATTTTGTGTTAACATCAAAACATTTTTTTAAACATAAAAAAACATATTTCAACTATTATTCAATAATAATTGAAATATTTAATATCTCATGGTATAGAAAAAAACTCGTGGATCACACAGGTACCATACTAGTATACATAATAATTAATTTTTTTTAAAGGAAACTGACAAATTATATCAAATCAAAAACTCGCAATACATCCCAGAGAATTGCAAAACATAAACGTAATCACCCGACACTAACCTCCTTCTAACCAGACATAACCAGAAGCCCACTGGCCCCCTCACTTCTTCATCAGACATAGAATAGACCACCCCAACAGGAGCGAGACTAATCGCTGAAAATGTGAGAGCTTTGAGGCTATTAACGGCTGAATCAGCCTGATTGCCTCTATACAAAAAGTTATCAACTAAAATAAACCAAACCAAAAACCTACCACTCTTATTATTTGCCCTAATAAAACTAAAATAAAGCGTAGCAAAAAGGACATAAAACAAAAATAAATAAAAAGCAGCTGCGTCGCCGTCTTTCAGACCTTTGTCGCGTGAATCCTTTGCGACGGCGGTTCAGGAGAGGGACGAATCATCCACATCTCATCTTCTTCCCCCACCATCTTAGGCGACCAGAACAACCACGCCGATCTCCCAACCGCCGATTGAAGCCAAATTCACCTCCTTTAACCAGGGCCCCTACCGCCAACGTTCCACCTGGATCAAACACAACTGGCGCAACTCTTGTCTCAATCGCCATCAAAGCCAGCACAGCTAACCCAATCATAGGAAACTCGGATCTCGTAACCCTAGCCTTTGTGAATCCACAGTCGTAAGGCAATAAATTAATTGTTATACATCTAATCATTCAAGTCATACATTTAATACTTGTATATGGCATGCACGAATGAAACTACAAAAAATGTGCACTATGGGCACATATGCGAGTACATACAAAAAGTGTACCTTCTTGTCTAAAAAAGGAAGTACATACAAACCATTTTGGTGTTGAGTTCATTCTTGAAGATCTGTTTGATATTCAATTATGAACTCACCTCCATGGAACTGCTCGGTTGTTTCTGCCCCCACTGTTTGCATCTCAATGAATGTTTGTTTTGCTTGATATAGTATGTCAGGGCTGATTTCTACATTATTCGGTAACATGCCCTGTCTTTCAAGTTTTTTCCTTTCCCATTTCCTTCAGCTTGAAGTTGTTCCTCCCCCTTTGTGCTTTAGTATTTCCTCCATCACAAACCGATAGCTTATGATTAGAAAAATGTGCTTTAGTTTTTTCGGTTATTACCAAAATATTTTTGTTGATTAGAAAAATAGTTATTGAAAAAAAAACTATATCAAACATTCAAACTAGTATTAATAGTTATACAGTACAAAAACATACATAATTAAAAAAAGAGAAGAAACAAATGCAGTTCCAAGCAATGAATTAGAGAGTACGTGTATACCAATTTAAACATTTTCAAAATTAATTAAATCTGTGAGTTTATTTATATGTGAATTATATACAATGCATTCGCAAGTTAAAATTTTATTAGTAAATAACTTATTCTACTTTCTTTTTAGAAAAAGATATTTATGCTGTAAAGTTTCACATTTTCTGCTATGTTGTTTAAAGTATAGTTTATATTAATACATATGTGTTCAATATAAAAACTATGTGATAACAAACATATATACATAACATATAATATATCAACAAAATATCATTGTCACACAACAACAAGCAAAATGTAAGTTACGATTTAAAATATCAGTTATGTATATGTACAAGTGTTTCACTTAATCAAACCATTAATATTAAATGTCAATATCTTGCAAATCATAATACATCTAGTATCAAACATTAATTTTCTAGAATTAAGAATTACACCGTAAGTACTAAACAAAATGTGATACTTAATGATTAGTAAATAAAATAACTAGTTTTATAAAGTTCGGTTTATTCAGTTCGATTCGGTTTTGAGATGTGAAAACCAAAACTGAAACCAAACAACTATGGTTCGATTCAGTTTTTTGAGTTCGGTTTCGGTTTTCTTGCGATTCAGTTGTTTTGGTTGCCGTTCGGGTTTTTCGATTCGGTTGATTTTCGGTTTCTCCGACTCACCCCTAACCGATACCCAAAACTAGTAAAAAAAACTTAAATTAGGCATTTGCTCTAATTATTTCCAACTCTCGTAAAAGCCATCCCCACAGCGGATTTCTCACTCCCAGATGGCGAACCAGTGAAAGCATATCCAGAGTTCATCGCTCTCCGACAGACCCATATTCAGCCATCAATACCCGGTAAACAGAAAATATCAGACGTAAGGTTAGTTTTTCTCTAAAACTTCTGTCTGATTTCACTAATTTATGATCGATGGGACTATACTTGTTCAATGAATATACTATAGGCTTCGAAACTCGTTCTAAAAAATTCTTGTTGTATAGTAAGGAATTAGCCGGGTCTGCCTACAATCTGGAATCCCAAAAATTCCAGTTTTTCTACATCAGATGCATTTTGATTACCCTACCTAATCTAGGCAATTCTACGATTAATTGAATGTCCTGAAATTGGAGATTTTTTTTATCTCGATGGGTGCATTCTTGCAGACCTATGGGAATATTTGCTAGTTTTGACTAGGTAACTTATACCTCATAGATACGTTCACTATCAAGGGATTTGAAAGATAAAATGTGTAGATATAGGACCGAACGATAAAAACTATCTACCTAAGATCTAACGTTCCATTAATTTTAATACTTTGTACCTGGTGCAACCAATCTCCTAGGTAAAAGCTCTTCATGATGCCACGCAATGAACTCCCATGAGAGTATATTTTATAGCAAAGTTAGTTAATGTATATATTAGTACAGTACATTACTACTCAAATGTCAATAAAAGGAAAATTGATCTCTATTATTTTTTACCTTCAAGTCAGGAGTAAAAATTATGCAAAGCTGACCCTCCCAAACAACACGAAGTTGGTCATAAACACTCTCCTGAACTGCCTTATCATATTCTATCATCGTTATCCCAGATAGAAATCGACATTCCCGTGGCATATCCAGGAACAAGAGCTCATTGACAACACCACTGCTGCACTTTTTTTCATTGAGCCTAGGAAGTACTTCGAAGGTTGCCTCTGATCATACCACCACAAAAGAATGAAACAAATGTTACATCAAGTCAATATTGAAACATGTTCAACAAGCCAAACTATAAAAATCATACTTGTCATGGCAATAAATAGAACATATACATCCATATCAATAGCATTTTCAAAATATAAATAGGCCAATTTTCAAAAGTCTTGAGAAAATATAAATAGGCCATTTAAGAGCATCAATTTCAGAGCATCAATAAGTGGGCAGACATTGCTTGAAACTACTTTTTGGTATAAAAACTAGTGTTGAGAATAATCATAAGTTGACAAAAGTGGCTGCCAAATGACAACATAATCTTATCCGCAATCTTGTATCTGATTCCAATTTTCAATACCTCCCCTGAACTCCCTATTATTAAAATGGCATATGATAACTCAAAAAATGATGTATTTAAGATTAAAAAATGGGGCCTCAAAAAAGGCTATCTGTCTACAAGAACCATACAAGACCACAAAAACATGCTTATCAAATGATACTTTTAAAAAGCAGCATTAACAGTAGATATCAATAATACATAACTGTACAACTTAAACGATATGATGAAAAATAGAAAAGTTCAATATTTTTTACGACGCATCTGTAAAAATATAGGCTATATCCTATATGCACATACTCGGGTAGAGATCATTGCCAAATAAGTGCATCCGTGCATATGGCCCATATTTACTGGTTTTACCTTCTGTATCACTCTACGCCATACATTTGGAGGCTTAGTGTTAATACACTCCCAAAAATCTTGTTACCTAGCTAAGAAATTGCCTCAAACACGCAATACGCCATTTCGAACCTTGTATATGTCCACCTACTTGTATTGCATTCCAATACTGTATATCTTGAATTTTTTTTATATTACTACTTACGTCCTTTTTTAGTTATCCATCTTTGACTTCTGTGGTCATAGGTCAATAATGCTAAACTTTGACTGATGGTATAATTATATAGGAAAAAGTTGCAAATATCCTGAAGTATATGTGGAGATGCACATGCACCCCTTAACTTCTAAAAGGTGCAAAAATACCCTATATTCCTATAAAGGAGAAAGCGACATCAAAAGGATGCAGAGAAGTAGGTAAGCAAATAAGCAGATAAGAAAGTAAACAAAGTACTCCAAACGTCCACACAACGCACCCTAACTAATGAACCAAGAAAGCTCTGAAATACCCCGTAGTAGTTTGCCAATTTCTCTCAATCATACCTGCTACCCTAATCCAGAGTCTATGAATCCCTGTCAGTGGTCATCCAGATATGTCAAACACACACTAACTAGACACAAACATCTAGTATTACCTATACCTTGAGCATTTTGACTACTATTGGCAATATTAGCCTGCAGAGGATTAGCCATGGGATTTTGTGCTGATTTTGTCTCCATTGACAACATCTTTAAGGATATCTTCCGCAGATAATTTGACTGCAATAGAAATTAAGTTGATTGAAGAATGTCATTTGCGATGCATAGATAATCTCAGAACTCATAAACAAACATTTAATAGTTCAAGGAAGTTGACTAGATGAAGACTAAAAATAATGAATAACCAATACTATGCATACCTGATTTGTAGCTGCAACATAAATTTTTTCCTCAAACCTCACATCAATTTTCTTAAGTTCTTGCAGCCCCTCTTGTCCGGAGAATAGAAGATGTCGCTTTAAAGTTTCCATTCTATACCATCATATTACATATATCAGTTAAGATAAGAATTGATAAGGATACCATCTCCAACCTTACAAGAGAACTAGCACACGGGACATCATCACATACACTGATACTACTCATATCTTACCCACCCAACTCACTAACTTATAGTCATGATTCACAAATATAAGCCTTGAATTTGATACTGCCTAGTTTACAATAAGAACAAAATATTGCAGTTTCGGGAGACTCCTGAATGAGCATAGAGACTAATGTTTCAATGTTTCAAGAGGGGTTCGTATTGTGTATAGATTGACGAAAGCAGAATAGGATGAAAAGTAGCAGCAAATAGACTCGTGTTCAAGGCATACAAGAAATGAAAATAAGACTAAGAGTTGCGTACAAAATGAAATTAGCCGAGGTTGCACCGATAAGCATCAACAACTAAATTCAATTACCGAAAACAAATTAGTAGCTGTTGTTAAGGACTGTCATCAGAATCCGTGAGCTTGAGGTATGTCAATTACGTCGTTTCCAGGAACCCAATCCCTCCGAGATCCGGTAAACGGTGCTAGCTGGAATTCCAGATCCGGTTTCTTTCTACCTTACTTATCTATCTTCGCTCTGCTGCTAGAATTCTACAGATCTCGTTGCGTTGCACCCTTCGGAATTCCGACGTACTGGCTCGCTTGAGCCTGGAGAATGGGAAGGGTCTGAGTCTTTGGTTCTCCCTCTTTTTGGAAAGTCCAGACATTAGCTGACGGATACAATATAGGCATGTTAGCGGGCGTTTCACGAATGAGCCAGACGTTAAGTTCGAAGGACATAAAAGGGATTAAGAAATATGGGGTATGTGTTTAGTAAAAAGAGGGTTGCGAATAGACGGTCGTAAGACAATAAATTAATTGTTATACATCTAATCATTCAAGTCATACATTTAATACTTGTATATGGCATGCACGAATGAAACTACAAAAAATGTGCACTATGGGCACATATGCGAGTACATACAAAAAGTGTACCTTCTTGTCTAAAAAAGGAAGTACATACAAACCATTTTGGTGTTGAGTTCATTCTTGAAGATCTGTTTGATATTCAATTATGAACTCACCTCCATGGAACTGCTCGGTTGTTTCTGCCCCCACTGTTTGCATCTCAATGAATGTTTGTTTTGCTTGATATAGTATGTCAGGGCTGATTTCTACATTATTCGGTAACATGCCCTGTCTTTCAAGTTTTTTCCTTTCCCATTTCCTTCAGCTTGAATGGTTCCTCCCCTTTGTGCTTTAGTATTTCCTCCATCACAAACTGATAGCTTATGATTAGAAAAATGTGCTTTAGTTTTTTCGGTTTTTACCAAAATATTTTTGTTGATTAGAAAAATAGTTATTGAAAAAAAAAATATCAAACATTCAAACTAGTACTCCCTCCGTCCTCTTTTAAATGTCCTGTTTTACCATATTGGGATGTCCCTATTTAATTGTCCCATACCTTATTTGGTAAATTTTGTGTGGCTCAAAATTATTCTTACTTTATTCTTACTTTATCAATTAATATCAACCACACAAACTCACTTTTCTTAAAACTCGTGTCACCATCTTCTGTCCCATTTAAAAGGGGACGGAGGGAGTATTAGGGAGTGTTTGCAATTGCTTCAACTTTAAAAAAGTGATTTTTTAAAGTGATTTGGGGAAAAGTGATTAATAGTAAAAGTTGGTAGTGTTTGAGAAAAAAGTGATTCTGAAAAAGTAAAAGTTGTTAGTGTTTGGTAAAATAAGTACTTTTTGTGTAATAGAAAAAGTGAAAAGCAGTTTAAAGCACCCTTCCACCTGCTTCCAACTTTTAGCTTTTAAGTGATTAATTTAAGCAGAAACTGTCATTTGAAAACACTCTTTTTAACTTTTTTTAAGCCAAAAGCTGAAAAGTGCTTTTTTTAATCAACTGCAAACACTCCTTTAATCACTGTTACCTTAGCGCTTACTACCAAATCGGCTTCAAAATCGGATGTCTGACTTAGCCGGCGCCTAGCGCAGTAGCGCGCCTAATCGGCCGATCTTGTAGTTAGTCAGCGATTTGGCTCCAGACTCAGTGCTAGGTTTTTACTTTTTAATACTTTTCTCGTTCGCCCAATTCGCCATGATCTTTCGCTCCGGGCTCTAAAGCTATCTTTCTCCACTTCCCATCTTCTACGATTGACTACGAACGGGGGTGTCCCCAATATGGATTCTAACAGATTTTAAAGGAATTTAGAATTCTATCTGAATTTGAATGTAGGGCTGAGCAAAACCCGATCCGACCCGAAAAACCCGATAATGTTTTCGGATATTATCCGAACCGAAGTGGATATCCGACCCGAAAAACCCGAAACCGAAAATCCGATTAGTATTGGGCCTAGACCGGGTGGCGGGTAGGGTTTGTGAAATCCCAACCCGACCCGCCCGAATATCCGAAAAATATGTTAGTGTGTACTTTGAATATTTAAATTAATACTTGTGTTCAATTATTTGTGTTATTATTTGTGCAATTCGTATTAAATTATTTGTGTAAATTGAATGTGTAGTGAACTAGTGTGTACAATTTTTGTTAAAGTGGCATTCCAACACTTTAACTATCCAATTATAATGTGTTTTGATATAACCAAAATATCTTAAATATATTAAATTATGTAGTGTGTACTTTGAATATGTTAAATTAATACTTGTGTTCAATTATTTGTGTAATTATTTGTGCAATTTGTGTTAAATTATTTGTGTAATTTGGAAGTTTAGTGCACTAGTGTGTACAATTTTTGTCAAAGTGGCATTTAACACTTTAATTATCCAATTATATTTTTTTTTAATGTAACCGAAATATCCGAAACCCGACCCGATATCCGAAAATATCCGACTTAAAAATATCCGAAATATCCGATTTGAAATATCGAAGGGTCGGGCCTAGTATTTAAATTAAAAATCCCGAACGGGTTTAGGGTTCGCAAACCCGACCCGCCCGAACCCGACCCGTGCACACCCCTATTTGAATGTCTTGAATTTAGATTTGTGGGGAGTCTGTTAAAATCCCCGTGGATTGCTAAGGATTCCCATGGATTTCCAAAACTAAAATACAAAGGAAATAACACAAGGAAACTCACTTCTCCCCCCTTCGGATTTCCACGGATTTCCCTTCAAGATCAGCAAAACAAAGCCGTGAAGAAGAGAACTCACCAGAGCGGCGAGAGCAAAACAAAGCCAGAATCAAGGACTCTAACCGGAGCCGTCTAGCTTGCCAGCTACATCACCGGAATGGGAAGTCGAGGGTGAGAGCTCCAGCTTCGGATCTGGCGAGCGGCAAAACCGGATGCTGAGGCTTCGTGGTGGCTAGGGTTGGTGGATAGCAGGCCGCTGTTCACTTCCACCGTTCTACGGTTGCTGGCCTGACGTTCCGATGCCCTGTTCTCGTATTTGGTTTAAGAATATGCCCCGTTTTATGAATCTGTATACTACGATCAGATGCTGAGAGGCAGAAGCAAGGGAACTTTTACAATATCCATGGAATTGATTAGAATCTGACAGATTCTATACAATTCTTTTAAAATCCATTAGAATCTTACTCTTTTAAAATCCTTTAAAATTCTAATTGGGGACACCCCCGGAAGCTTCAAGTCTCAAGTTTCTAAGTAACGATCTCCCATTGAATAACCCTTTTCAATCTCTCTGCCACCAGCCAGTTGGAGGTAAGTGTTCATCCCTTCACTGATTTCACTCTATTTTGTTTTCATCAAATTTCAGCTTCTTAGGAAATTGGAATTATAATTTGCTGTTTACAATCTCAAAACACGATTAAAACAACTTATTTGTGGTAACTGTTAATGATTAAACATTCGGATGTGAAATGTTTAGAACATGCCCAAAGCATAAGCAGACACAAGGAACCCAAGTTCAACACGTGAATGGATAACTGTAGCCTTGACCCTCAAATGATTATTCTTCATACTTCAGATCAAATAAAGAGACTCAACAGTCAACACAATACTAAAATCAAAGATTTTAAGGATATATGTATATCTTTTGAATATATGATTAAATATATGGATGTCTATACATATGAATCTGTGTGAATGATACATATGAACTATAAAGTTAGAAATTAATGTAAGCAACTCAATATGGGAACTTTGTAAGTTAAGTGTTTGTCAAATGTCCTCAAACAAGTATAAACCATATTCTTTACTTCACTAGGTTGGAATATGGATAGATGAATTGTTCTTGCGAAACCTATACTTTGTCAAGCTAATTAAGTTAATCATTTCAGAATTCTTTACTTTATTAATAGGTTTACTGGTTCAATTTAAGACTTCAAGTTAATGTTAATAAAACTTACTAAAACCTTTAGTAAGTTTATTTAAATTAAAACTTTCTTTTATATTAATAACTCACTCAAACTTCTCTGTTACTAATATATTCATAATATGATCACTACTCCTTTCTTTTAAAAAGTCATTGATGCTGATTTTCTACTCCTAGCATTAAACTAATAAGGAATTGACTTCCTGTACAATGCTTGTTTTAATTTGCATTTTGAATCCCTACTTAGTTGGCTGAATTTTTTTAATTGTGTTTACTGTTTATGTTTTTGGGATGATGATCCATTCTTGAACTTGTTAGGTTCATTGCTTGTTGAGTTGTTTAATGGAAAATCCAATTGTTTTATGGTATTAAATAATTAATTCTGGAACTATTTTTTATAATACTCCATCCACAAGGCTTGTATTTTTTACTGCATACACTAATACACCTGGGTGAATGACTGATTTGAGGCAGAAAACTCCTTGCTACCGAGTTGCCGATTAGTTGCCGATTAGTCGCCGATTAGTCGGCCTAGGCGCTAGGCGGCCCTCTGCCGCCCGACTAGCGCCTAGCGAGTTTTAGAACATTGGTATTAATAGTTATACAGTACAAAAACATACATAATTAAAAAAAGAGAAGAAACAAATGCAGTTCCAAGCAATGAATTAGAGAGTACGTGTATACCAATTTAAACATTTTCAAAATTAATTAAATCTGTGAGTTTATTTATATGTGAATTATATACAATGCATTCGCAAGTTAAAATTTTATTAGTAAATAACTTATTCTACTTTCTTTTTAGAAAAAGATATTTATGCTGTAAAGTTTCACGTTTTCTGCTATGTTGTTTAAAGTATAGTTTATATTAATACACATGTGTTCAATATAAAAAACTGTGTGATAACAAACATATATACATAACATATAATATATCAACAAAATATCATTGTCACGCAACAACAAGCAAAATGTAAGTTACAATTTAAAATATCAGTTATGTATATGTACAAGTGTTTCACTTAATCAAACCATTAATATTAAATGTCAATATCTTGCAAATCATAATACATCTAGTATCAAACATTAATTTTCTAGAATTAAGAATTACTCCGTAAGTACTAAACAAAATGTGATACTTAATGATTAGTAAATAAAATAACTAATTTTATAAAGTTCGGTTTATTCAGTTTGATTCGGTTTTGAGATGTGAAAACCAAAACTGAAACCAAACAACTATGGTTCGATTCAGTTTTTTGAGTTCGGTTTCGGTTTTCTTGCGATTCGGTTGTTTTGGTTGCCGTTCGGGTTTTTCGATTCGGTCGATTTTCGGTTTCTCCGACTCACCCCTAACCGATACCCAAAACTAGTAAAAAAAACTTAAATTAGGCATTTGCTCTAATTATTTCCAACTCTCGTAAAAGCCATCCCCACAGCGGATTTCTCACTCCCAGATGGCGAACCAGTGAAAGCATATCCAGAGTTCATCGCTCTCCGACAGACCCATATCCAGCCATCAATACCCGGTAAACAGAAAATATCAGACGTAAGGTTAGTTTTTCTCTAAAACTTCTGTCTGATTTCACTAATTTATGATCGATGGGACTATACTTGTTCAATGAATATACTATATGCTTCGAAACTCGTTCTAAAAAATTCTTGTTGTATAGTAAGGAATTAGCCGGGTGTGCCTACAATCTGGAATCCCAAAAATTCCAGTTTTTCTACATCAGATGCATTTTGATTACCCTACCTAATCTAGGCAATTCTACGATTAATTGAATGTCCTGAAATTGGAGATTTTTTTTATCTCGATGGGTGCATGCTTGCAGACCTATGGGAATATTTGGGGAATATTTGCTAGTTTTGACTAGGTAACTTATACCTCATAGATACGTTCACTATCAAGGGATTTGAAAGATAAAATGTGTAGATATAGGACCGAACGATAAAAACTATCTACCTAAGATCTAACGTTCCATTAATTTTAATATTTTGTATTTTAAAAAATTAAACTTTGCTCCGTATTTAACCTTATTAAACTCATTAACTTTTTTGAAGAAAAAATCATAAAAAGATAACAGTGAAATTAATAAATAATTAAATAAATCAAAGTCTATGATATTTTACGTCCTACGTTGATACTAAGCATATCTTGGGTCTTGGATTGATAATTCTTGACTATATATGAATTTGTTTGTGGATTTTTGTTCAGATTTAGCAATATATTGTTTCAAATTTTTTCTGTTGTTTATCTCGCCAAGTTTATATGACTAGATTAAGATTTCAGAACTGTGAATCTCCTAGTATTGTATTTCAGAACTGCAGCCACTTGTTTGAGAAAATGTCTCAATCGAAACTAAAAGCCTTCTTATGTTTACTGTAGCTGAGCATAAAAAATGCTTGTATTGACGTTATTATTCACTCTTATACAGTTATACTACCTGATGTGGTATATTTTCTTCCTGGAGTATTATATTTTCTAGCTATGAAATTCACTGATGTGGTAATTTGTTAGCATACCTGATACCATGAAATTAATCTGATACACTATTTTAATTTTTAACATACTTGATACTATGAAAGTCACCATCTATAGTTATGTTTTCTATATTTTCATGTTCAACTGTCCTGTGTGCATCACAGTCATATTTAAGCTGAGAAGTTGTTCCTGAAAAACAAATGTGCTTTCTTGTGAATGTTAACGGGTGCAAAAACCTTTTATTTCTCCCAACTAAAGAACAACTCTAGTTCAAAATTATTTATTCACTCCCTGTAATGACCATGATAAAAACATATAATTGCTGGACTAATACGTTGTTACATGGACTTTTCAGTCTGTCTACAATCTGGCATCATTTGGTGAAATATAAAGGAAAGCGAAAAGTTTGAAATAATAAGACAAAGTCATCTAACAGAAGCTTTCAGGCAATCATCTGGTGTGGGATGGAGTCGAATTTGAGACATGCATTAATACTACTTTATCTAACTGTATTTCCCATGATTATAAGTGTGAGGGCCTGGACCGGTGCTATCTATGGTCGAGTTGTGTGTGATGTATGCAGAGATTCTTCTATTGGCCCGGAAGACCATGTTCTGGAAGGTAATGCGTCATTTTTTCTCGGATGCTTCTTCTTTTCCACTTATTTATTTTTAAAAATTGTAAAGTCATGCGGTCATGCCTCTTTCCCTTCTCAAAATGTAATTTGTAATTTCCATCTCCCAACAGATTACTAAATCACATTTCTGGCTAGCAGGAGCAGAGGTTGCTGTTCTTTGCTTAACAAAGACCGGTGAAGTTGTAAATTATCAAGCATTCACGGACTCGAACGGGATATACAGAGTAGCAGAAAGTATGCCAGAGAGTGATCGGTGGGATACATGCTTGGCTAGACCCATAAGCAGCTTCCATGATCACTGTACACACCTCAGAGAAGGCACCAGCTCGGGCATTAAGTTCAGATACAACCATCGATCTGGCTATTCCCATACGCTCAGACCATTCGTTTATCGGCCAGCCTCTCTCCCAACTTACTGCACATGATGATTCTCATTTCTTCTTGCCATAGCTTGGTTTGGGTGATCGTTGGGGAGGTGGATCAAGAGCTGCTGGCATCGGTGTGTTTCAATATAATGAACCAAATCTAATGATAATAAATTTTGAATTGATACCAATATTGACATCTTTATTCATTTTTTCCAATCAAGGTGAGCATACAGTTGAACCTCCAACACGTACACGAGTATGATGCAATCATTTAGAAACAACACGTACACAGTTGTTCAATGCAGTTTTGATAGATGTGAGATCAACCTTTTAGTTTCTATGTTACCACAGGCCCACAAGCCACAACAAGAAACAATTTACGGGTGATTCTATATAGAGGTGTCTGGATCTAAATAGATCAATCAAAATATGTTGCAGTTGAATTATTTATGTTAAATTAAAAATGATATAATGATGCACCTTACATTTGTCCACATAGATCAATCAAAATATGTTGCAGGTGAATTATTTAATCTAAATTTAAAATGATATAATGATTTGAACCAATCGAGTGATAATAAAAGTTTTAAATGATATAATGGTCTTTTATATTCAATCAAACATTAAAGGTTGATTGATAATAAAAGACTATTGTCTCATGATAAAATCTTTTTTTTTTCACCAAGAAAAATTATGATATATATGAGGGTTGACGCATAGATAGAGGAAAAAATTAACGGAGTGGAAGTAGGGGTGGACCGGTTCCGGTTCGGGCCTGGGCCCGGCCGGGCCTCGGTTCAGAAAAAGGAGGCCCGAGCCCGAACCGGTGGTGGGCGGTTCCGGTTCCGGTTCCGGGCCAGAACCGGGCCGGGCCGGGCCGGGCCGGGCCACCCGGAATGTTTATTTTTTTTTTCTTCTTCTTCTCTTATTTAACCCCCTACCCCTCCCCCTCCACCCCAAACCACCCCAAATGGCCCAAAATACCTAATCCAACCCAAAACTTAAAAAAAATTTCAAAAAAAAAAAAAAAAAATTAAATTCCGGCCCGAACCGGGCCCGGCCCGGCCGGGCCGGTTCACTAAACTGGAGGCCCGGGCCCGGACCGGTATACCACCGGGCCGGGAGGCCCAAACCGGAACCGAACCGGTTAACCGGGCCGGTCCGGGCCCGCACAGTAGCGGGCCGGTCCGGTTCCGGGCCGGTTGGCCCGGCCCGAGTCCATCCTTAAGTGGAAGCATAAGAGAATATATTCAAGGATAAGAAACTAGAATTAATACATTAAAAAATTGTTTAAATCATATAAAAAGTACTTTCGCTCTTGATATACATTACCTCCTTTTATTCTATACTAAAATTTATCTTTGCACCACACATAAATGCAAAACCAAAGAAAAATGAACAAACAATACAAAAATAATTACTACATTCATCTGCATCACTCATGCTGTAGTGCCCGTACACATAGTAGATTCAAATTAATTAAGTGAACATTGTTTTAATACAAAATGAGTATTTTATAGAATTGAAATGAGTACAATAAACAAAACAATGAACGTGATTAAATAAGTATAATAAGTTAAGTATTTTGTAGTGAGATAGCATCACTGATGGTCTTCCAAATAGGAGACCGCAATTTAGAATGAGGATGTTATCAAGCTCATATACTATAATAATTTTAGAAGATAAGCACTACATAATAAGTAATTTAAAAGAAAATTACAAATTGCAGGACTAGGACAGGGTCCATGTTGAAAACTAATACTATTGGGCCTAAAAAGCCCAAACAACAGATCAGCCACAAAAATGTCGTCCAACTCACAAAATACTGTATTTCGCCAAACTTCGTTGTTCAGTTTCGTGTGGGCAAAGCGTTTCTGGGTACTTGGGAAGGAAATAGCTGAGAAGAAAAAAACACAGATCAGAAAGCTAGAGCGAGCGATAGAGATGGATCCTAAGCTCACAGTGGTTTCTCAGTCATTTGAGCGGTTTAAGGCTGCTTTAATGCGTAAGGATTTCGATACCTGCACCCAGCTTCTCTCCCAACTCAAGGTACTACATTTGCAACCACAGTTCGAATTCGAAACCCTAGATTTTCACTTTGTGGCACGCTCCATAGTTATTTACGAAGCTCATCATTCTTCTAGGGTCCAAGGCTTTGAAACACTGTGTTATATTGAGCTGCTGACTATTACTTTTAGTGAAGGCTCTTTGAGTGATTGGGTTGAAAGCTCTTTTTCTTATTTCCTGGATCAGGATTTCACCTAATAGATCTTACCACAGTTTGATTTTGCATTATCTTCGATTTTAAAAAATAAGTTGTTTTTTCTTATTTTGTATAATATGACCTGGATTTGGAAAATTATTAATCGAAAATGAACTAACTTACTAAAGTATGAAGTTGCTAACATTTGTGAGAGAATTTCCGAATACTAGTTTGGCATCCATGCTACTCCATTGTACGGAGTATATGTATTTGGATTTCAATTTAAGAGTATTTGAAATTTCTGCATGACATTAAGCTGCTGAGCTATGCAATTACCATAATTTACAGACAGTTGCAAAAAGTTGTAATAATTTTATTGAATTTCACATTCTTTAGGATAAGAGGATCATTACATATTCTTTAGAATTGATATAAGATAATTTAATTATAGTCCTGATTTGGTAAAGGATTATATGAAAGCGGTGTAATATGCTGGAAACATGTAATAATACACTGACAGATATATTATGTTAAATAGGTCGGAGAGAAAGAACGAATTTGTGAATACTTTATTCCACTCAGTTCCTTAATTTAAATTGACTTCCTTGATAACTTCAGGTTATGCTAACTGAATTTAAGAGCCTCCCTCCTATTTTTGGAGATACACCAAATGCTGTCCATGAGTTGACAATTGCGAGTAATGTTATTCACTCTCTATTCTCTTTGTAGCTCATAATTGACAAGTTGTCTTGCTTTTTATCTTGACCTTATTTTTTTACTTAAATAAAGATCTTCTGAATGGTTTAGTACACACCTGTTTTCTTAGCTACTATAGTATCTTTTGTGCATTTAGAAATAGCAATGCCATAATTTTAAGATTTTATTCTGGTTTCCTCTGCAGAGGAAGTAAAGGGAGAAAGTAAGCGGTTGTGGATATTTCACTTAAATAGTAACATGACTTGATTGTGTGAAGGACTGACTAAAAATATGACATTGAAAGAACAGCCACTTATTGATGTTGGAGTTTACAAAACTGATGTGATAGTGTTTGCTGTTTAATACGACAATTTGTATTGCTGAAGATCATCTTATATATATAATTCCGCGTATTTTTCAAAAGTTATCTTTTGTGCATTTAGAAATAGTTCTGTTTCTAGTCATCTACTGAAGTACGTCTGTCATAACATATTGTCTAACAAATACTACAGGGGATATATATGAGCATGCAGTTATTTTAGCTGTGAAGATGGAGGATCAAGATGCTTTTGAGAGAGATTTCTTTCAGCTTAAGCCTTATTACACAGATGCAAGGTGAGTATTATTGGCATACAGCATACCTATTATGTATTTAATACACATGATGTCAGTAATTTTGCCCTAGCAATTGCAAGTATCGAAATTGTACTACGTATGATATTGGAACTAAAAGTTTTTCCCCCACATTTCATTTTTGTGCGTCTGTCCGAACTGAAGCAAACTGAACTAACCCAAACCGATTTAAAAAATTCCCCAACCATATTACTGTACATGACCAATAAAACTCAAAAAACATTTAATCCAGAAGTAAACTAAGTTAAGATTTTTTTTCAAACAGTACTAAAACTAAGTGAACCATGATGGCATCACTGTTGATCTCCCAAAGAGGAGGTTGCAGGTTTGATTCCCATCCCAATCAAGGATGTTGGCATTAACAAGAGCAGATTTCAAACAGTACTAGGTTTAGAAGATTATTCCAAAAAAAAAAATAAGTGAACCAATATATCAAAATAAATAAACAATCCAGAACCAAAACCAAACCAAATTGAGTATATTTCTTTTGGTATAAGATCCCAATCCAGGCTAAACAAAAAAAATCGGAAATGCCCATACCTAGCCCCCCTCTCCCCAATGAATCCATCGCTGTGCCCTTTACTGTGAACCTTACTTAACCAGAAGTATTGTCTCTTTACCAAACACTTTCTAGATGCTTGATGTAGTCATTACGGTTCTTTCCATTTCACACACTAAATCCATGGCTGTGCCCATTACTGTGAACCTGACTTAACCGGAAGTTTTGTCTCTTTACCAAACACTTTCTAGATGCTTGATGTAGTGATTAGGGTTCACTCCATTTCACACTCTTGTAATATATAATTATGGTTTAGCCAAAGTCTTAATTTGTTCTTGTCTTTTAATGGAGCAACAGGCGTCTTCCGCTGTCCCCCCAAGAATACCCCATTTTAGGTCTCAACCTTCTGAGACTACTTGTTCAGAATAGGATTGCAGAATTCCACACTGAATTGGAGTTGCTTTCTCCTAATGCCTTGGAGGATCCTTGCATAAAACATGCTGTTGAGCTAGAGCAGTCCTTCATGGAAGGAGCTTACAACCGTGTGTTAAATGCTAGGCACACAGTGCCTCACGAAACATATGCTTATTTCATGGATCTTTTGGCCAAGACTGTCAGGTGTAACCTCTTTGCATACCTGAAATATTGTTGAAATTATGTATAAAAATTAGTAAACTTGTTGATTTTTCTGTTCAGCGTATTGAAGTTAACTTGTGCTTTTTTTCTTTTTTCTTTCGAACATATGTAATATACTTTGGCCCCTCTGATTAGGGATGAGATAGCAGGATGCAGTGAAAAGGCTTACGACACTCTTTCAGTAGGTGATGCCCGGCAAATGCTGCTCTTTTCCTCGGACCAAGAACTCTTTGAATATGTTCGTGAGGTAAAAACTGTCATTTTCATTTCATCATTTTCATTTACCCCAGTGCCGCAAAGGCTCCCACCTACGGTGGGGTAGGGGGGGGGGGTCGGATGTACGCAGTCTTACCTCTGTACTACAGCACAGAGAGACTGTTTCTGGATGACCCATAGTGAAAATCGCGTCCAAAATTGTATGGGCTGACTGCTACTTCATAACAAAGAAGCGCTGACATTTAGTGAGCAAATCTCTTCCGTTGTTTGCATGCTTCATCTCTCTAATTGATTTGTAGGAACACCCTGAGTGGGAGATAAAGGACGGACTCGTCATTTTCCAAAAAGTAAAAGATGCAGCACCTTGCAAGGAGATACCATCTTTGCAGCTTATCAATCAAACACTCAGTTATGCAAGGGAGTTGGAGCGAATTATCTGAGAGATAGTGTTTCTGTTGCTTTGAGTTGCGTTTTACTGATAAATTGATCTGATCCAGCCAAAATAGATCCTTGTGAGTTGTGACAATCGGCTCTTAGACCATTACTGCATCTAAATGTTTCCTGTAAAAGTGCACATTTGTACTCTTTTTCCT